TCGTTCTATACAGGTGGTCGTCCTATACATGTGGCTACACCGTATCACCACCATCCACGGGAAGCTGTGAACGCTGGGAACAGACAGGTGGCCGTTCTATACAGGTGGCTACACCGTATTACCACCATCCACGGGAAGCTGTGAACAGACAGGTGGCCGTTCTATACAGGTGGATCCACCGTATCCCCACCATCCACGGGAAGCTGTTACCGCTGTGAACAGACAGGTGGCCGTTCTATACAGGTGGCTACACCGTAACTCCACCATCTACGGAAAGCTGTGCACGCTGTGAACAGACAGGTGGTCCCACCTGTATAGAACTCCCCACCATCCACGGGAAGCTGTGAACGCTGTGAACAGACAGGTGGTNTCCGTCTGTCTATCCGTCCGTCCGTCCATCCGTTCCTCCGTCTGTCTATCCGTCCGTCCATCCATCTGTCTATCCGTCCGTCCGTCCATCCGTTCTTCCGTCTGTCTATCCGTTCGTCCGTCCATTCGTTCCTCCGTCTGTCTATCCGTCCTTTCATCCATCTGTCTATCCGTCCGTCCGTCCGTCCGTTTATCCATCTGTTCTTCCGACTATCCATCTTTCTGACTATCTATCTGTCCGTCCGTCCATCCGTCCGTCCGTCCATCCGTCCGTCTGTCTATCCGTTCGTCCGTCCATCCGTTCCTCCGTCCGTCTATACGTCCGTCCGTCCGTCCATCCATCTGTTCTTCCGTCTATCTATCAGTCGTACTATCTATCCGTCCGTCCGTCCATCCGTCTGTCTGTCTATCCGTCCGTCCGTCCGTCCATCCGTCCGTCTGTCTATCCGTCCGTCCGTCCGTCCATCCGTCCGTCTGTCTATATGTCCGTCCGTCCGTCCGTCCGTCCGTCCGTCCATCCGTTCCTCCGCCTGCCTATCCGTCCGTCCGTCAATCCATCTGTTCTTCCGTCTATCCATCCGTCCGTCTGTCTATCCGTCCGTCCGTCCGTCCGTCCGTCCGTTACTCCGTTCGTCTATCCGTCCGTCCGTCCGTCCATCCATCTGTTCTTCCGTCTATTCATCCGTCCGTCTGTCTATCCGCCCATCCGTCCATCCGTTCCTCCGTCTGTCTATCCGTTCCTCCGTCCGTCTATCCGTCCGTCTGTCCCTCCGTCCGTTCTTCCGTCTGTCTATCCGTCCGTCCGTTCATCCATTTGTTCTTCCGTCTATCCATCCGTCTGTCTGGCTATCCGTCCGTCCGTCCATCCATGGAGCGTCAACAACGGTGGTATAACTCAAAGCGAGCTGCGCGTGTAGGCGTCTGCCGGAGGCCCGTAGTCCGTAACGATGTCCCCAATCCGGAAATACAGATTTTGTGAATATGCTGTCAGGGGTAAGAAGAGGAGGAGGAGGGGGAAAATATTCCGCCCTTAACTTAGAGAGTATGCCCCGCGGGGTCCAGAAGTGAGGAAACGCGCGATTGCGACAGAAATGCGAATGTGTTGAATCTATTATATCTCGATATTCATCACAAACACACAGTTACGCACATCCTTTACAACGCTCAGCACAGATTCCCAAATCCACGTCACGATTAGGCCACGCCTCCTTTCAAATCGTTGATTTTACTGGATTTACAATTGCTTCAAAATTTACAAAAACAAATCTTTTTGATAAAATACCGAAAGGTAAGTAATATTGTGGTAAAAACTTATTGTTTATTGTTTTTACTGAAAAAATATAGTTAGGGTCACACAAGAAATAAATTATATGACCGGACGCGTTCTACAATCGAGTAGATCATCATTATGTGTATTAGTAGGTCTAAGGAGAGAGATAGTGAATATATAAATAAGTTGTGGATATAGAAATCAGTTAACCCTAACCCTAACCCTAATCTTAATCTTAATCCTAACCCTAATCCTAACTCTATCCCTAATTCTCAAATATAAAAAAATTAGCCAAAAATAATAAAAAAATAAGAGACAAAATTAGCCAATCAGAATCAGATCTCTTTCCTGTGCAAAATTCCATGTGTATCAGTTACACTGATAACGAAAAGCTTATTTTGCAAAACGGCCTATGTCCATATTTTTCAAAAATGACTTTAAGCCACCAATGTCTAGTATGTGAACATAGGTACTGTTTAGAGTACTTTTTTCTTGAAAAACAGCCTACATCATGTTTAAAAGACCCAACATAATTCGTGTTTAGCTTACATACATAAACCTTTAGTTGCAAAATAGCCTATATCTATCAGCAAATTTTAACCAATGATGAAAACAATGTAAACTAGACAGAGTGCACTCACGGAGAGTGCATACCTCCGCCAACGACATACGCCATACGCCTCGGCTTGCTGACTCGCTGGCTGGCTAATATCGATCGCGCGAACACACGAACACACGAGAGCGAAAACATAACCTCCTCCAACTCCGTTGGGCGGAGGTAATGATTGTCAAATAATTATTTTTCTCGTTTTCTCTCATTTCTTCAAAATGGACATGTGCAGTTTTTCCAAATAAGCCTTTTGTATATAGGCTGTGGTTCCTCGACCCGTGACCGGTCGCCAATGTTCTGTGGCTAAACGACCAGTTAACAGGATGGACCAATCAACAGGGAGCTTGCCTCCCCCCCACCCAGCTAGTCCTTACGGCGGTGGTGGCGCTGCTAAGTCAATTTGTGTTTTTATCAGAAAACTATCAACACGTTTATTGTTATGCTATTAATTGTTGTGTACCAGTAATAAAACTAGTTTCAACAGTACATTTAGCGGCGGTTGTAGCGGTTGTAGCGATTTTAGTAGCCTCCCTACTCTTCCCTCCGTGAGATGTACGTGTCCGGTTGAGGAGCCACAGCGATATATATGTGTGTATGTATATATATCAGTGGACAGTTACTGCATGCTTACTCCGTTTATATTGTGTTAGTGTGTTGCGTGCGGTTTTTTTATGCATTTCATTATATACCGAGTTTTGTTACTGTTGCTATCTATGCTCACGCTGTTCTTATACAGCGACATATACAGTAGAAGTCCAAAAATCCGGATGCCAGAAATCCGACCGACCCGAGAACCTTTCGAAAACATGACTTCAGCCATTATAATACACGCTGTTCTTTTTGTAGTGAAAATATTTTATGTTTACATTTTTGTCAAGTGTTGACCTTATTTTCCTTTAAAACTGCTCGTTTTTAATCAATGAAGCCATGCTGTATTTGCTAATGAGAATAAACAATCAAAATTTACTTGTTCTTCTCTTCTTCATTTTTATTTGAATTTTAAAACTACTGTAGTACGCACAGACGAGTGATGTCGGTACCAATGTTGAATCTATTACTCTAGCTCTACTGCTATCTCATTATAATATATCAAAAGCTAATAATTAATGAATCGTTAGCTTTTAAATATATATGGAGTCGACTCCAAAATCAGTATAGAAAATTACTTTCGTTTGACACATCGTGGATCCAAGTATAAATCTGGGTATAAGTTAAATAGTTAAATATAAAAAAACGTGTACATTAGATTGTAATAGGATTTTGAAAAGTGAAAACGTTAACCCCGTTCCGAAACAGTCAAATTCTGCCAATAGGTGGCTCTATATAGAGTCGACTCTGCCGCGTTCAGCGCTAAAGAGACGAACGCTAACAGATGCCTGTCTGTTCACAGCGTTAACAACTTTCCGTGGATAGTGGGGATACGGTGTAGCCACCTGTATAGAACGGCCACCTGTCTGTTCACAGCGTTAACAGCTTCCCGTGGATGGTGGTGATACGGTGTAGCCACCTGTATAGAACGGCCACCTGTCTGTTCACAGCGTTAACAGCTTCCCGTGGATGGTGGGGATACGGTGTAGCCACCTGTATAGAACGACCACCTGTCTGTTCACAGCGTTAACAGCTTCCCGTGGATGGTGGAGATACGGTGTAGCCACCTGTATAAAACGACCACCTATATAGAACGACCACCTGTCTGTTCACAGCTTCGCGTGGATGGTGTGACCATATATTACATTTATAAATGATTATTTAGTGGACAAACTGATGGTAGACAAAATGGGAATGGAGTGGATTTTTAGTGTAGGCCAATTGGGAGTATGCGAAATGGGTGTAGACATTTCTCTCTCTTTTGCTATAGACGAAATGGGAATTCCGCCGTAGGCGAAATGGGAGTAGGCCAACTGGGCATAAACCCACCGTATAACCACCATCCACGGGACGCTGTGAACGCTGTGAACAGACAGGTGGTCGTTCTATACAGGTGGCCGTCCTATACAGGTGGATACACCGTATCCCCACCATCCACGGGAAGCTGTGAACGCTGTGAACAGACAGGTGGCCGTTCTATACAGGTGGCTACACCGTATCACCACCATCCACGGGAAGCTGTGAACGCTGTGAACAGACAGGTGGCCGTTCTATACAGGTGGCTACACCGTATCACCACCATCCACGGGAAGCTGTGAACAGACAGGTGGTCGTTCTATACAGTTGGCCGTNTATCGATCCTTCGGAGTTAGCTATAGCGCGATTCTTTTTTTTACTATTATATGCTATTGTCCATATGTGCATGGGTGTCAATTGAAACAGACGCTTGCTGTAATTCCAAGCTCCATTATTTAGTGTAAATTAGATTGGGTCTAAATTAACTCGATATCTCTACTCGTGAATTTATTTTCTAAGACCTGAATCATTTAATGCATTGATTATTGAAATTTCTAGATAAACGCTAATATTATATATAGATGAGATAGATATTATTTGAGTAATACATTTTTCTATCGGCTTAATCCTCACTGACGCTTTACTACTAGGTTACTTCCTATATAAGGCTAATTGCTTATGTCGGATATAATTTTTCGTGTGTCATATCTGCTATGATTAATTATCGTATATTGTTAATTTCTGAATTGAGCAAGTCTAATTATTCTCTGAATGCTAACATGTTGTCCTTATATTTCGTGAAAGGCCGTGTATTTATTGATGATTAGATAGTTCATGTGTCCTCGGAAAATGTCATAGCTCCGTGACTCAGATATTCTTCTTGTCGGCGGAACGCCACGTCGCGGCATGTAAAGGCCATGCTGCGCCCGCATATATATAATCCTATATCTAATTGGGTCTTACTACTATACGCCGTGTTATATAATACACTATAATATTTATATCTCATGTCTAGGGTTATCGCTTGTGAGTCTCATCTCTTAACTCGGCAACTCCAGTGCTTAATTCTCGACACTGCAGCTGTCATAACTCGACACTGGTAGGATTCTCAGGAATACAGTATGTATACGCTTAGATCCGCACCGGCAGATAATGATAGTAATACTCTTTTCTTACACCGTATACATGTCGATTGTATCGTTATAAGAATAGCTATAAGACTAATGGGCTTGATCGCGCGGCTCGGCAAATATTTATTAGCTTTCACTGTAGGGAATCGCTGTTGGTCTATTACATCGATACTCACAAGTGTTATTCGTGTAGGACAGATATGAGTTCAGAGTACGGCCTGTTAGGTGTCTAGAAAGTATCTCCATATAGATCCTCGAGCATATGATACTCATTATAGTAACCTACCCTTTTTCTACGCTCAATTTAAACGTGTCGCGCATGCGTCACCTGCAGTTATACAGGTCGTACTGTCGGGACTTGTGGGCTGCGCTGGCTATTTGCGATTAATTAGGTTAATCGGGGTCAATTAATTCGGACATTCACAGGTGTGTGTAGTATAGTGTGACATGTTATCATTATTGACTGGTAGAAATCTAGAAGTATCTCTACAGATCGCGAGAGATCCGTAGTGTATACATGTTCTTGTCTAGCTGCCATTACGGCTAAAACCGGAAGATTATCTGTCTTAGGCCTTAGAGTTGATTGGGTTGTTCTTGAGGTCTTTGATCGTCTGCTGTTTTGCTATTCGACGCCATATCATACTAATTATAGTGGTATGGTTGAAGTCGTGCTGAGAGAGCGCTGCGATTAGATTGAAAAGCTACGAATGGATATGATTTGTGAGGACAGTAGGAGCCGTATGCATGAGTAGGAATTGCTAGAGAAGAGGGGGGGGGATTCTCAGTACAGATCGCGAGATTTAGAGAGAGAGTAAATAACTTGTAGATCTACCGGATGGTAAGAGACGATATACGCTTGTATAAGCAAATGGGCTTGCCGCGCGGTGGATAACAGCTATTATATTAGAGTACATCGCTATTGCGTGCAATGAACTTCGGAGAGCTCGACGAGAGAGGAGGTGTTATTTCTAGACAGATACTATCAATCACGCCATGGAGCGAGTGAGAGGATGTTCTAGGGCATGTCTACTCGACTGCAGAGAGTGTTCTTCGAGATGATGACTCGTCGTGTTCTTCGTATAATGTCGTTCATGGGGATATGGCCCGCGCGCTTTCCCGCGCCGGACGAACACAAGATTGAAATTTTCGCGCTAATTGTACTCATATGCCTAATTATTGTTAATCGATTTCACGAGTCAGTGAAGATTCCGAAGGCTCCAGTGACTTTTCTTTAAGCTTGTTGTGTCTCAATTTTGGCATGTCGCGTCTCTCTCGATACGTACACCTCACTTCCTAGATTCGGAACGAAGATATGAAATTACCAGTACTACTTTTTTCTATATCCGGAATCAACCTACTACGGCAGGCCGGTGCTTTGTATGTGACTTAACGCATTATTGTAGTGTCCGTTTTAAGTCGCCGCTGCGTCGGCCTGATAGTTGTAGATTAATTAGCGGGTATACATCGTACACAGTTATGCGGAGATTCACAGATACTACACATATGCGGATTATGAGTGCGCTGCATTTCGCACGCTAGTGATTGATCTATCTATCTCTGCTCATGGTAGTTCCTATTTGAGTTCGTCCGCTGGCTGTAGAAGTGTCTAGTAGCGTTGTATGATAACTAGAATACTCCGATAATACTGATAGGCGTAGGCCTGGCGTTTGTACGGCTATGACACCCGTGCGTACTCATAATGGTCCGGTTAATATAACTGTATGTACAGGCGTTGGACGCGCGCGGCTCGACTGTTATGTGTGCATATAATATACAGTAAATACAGTATAACGAGCTCGAAGTCGTGAAGTCACGTATTATCTCGAAATCTATCACGCTAAATAAATGGCAATATCATTTATCCATTGACTATAGTATTCACGCATGTAGAATTCTAGAATTTAACTCGACTCCTTCGCGAGACATGCGTATAACTATGGCTTATGAGTTCAATGTGGTCTTATGATTGGTCGATACCTTTAATAAGATAAACCTATAAATGAATAGTAACAATATTTTAAGCACTTAATATAATTATCAGCAAATCTGATTTAAATAGTGTTTTTGCGTATAATATTTTATACTTATCGTATGAGATCACACTAGCATTATTTCTAAGCATGTATCTCACGCTATGTAATTTAGTATTCTTTATTTGATTATTTATACTCTGACTCTTCGTCGTATGCTATTGAGCGTTTTAGTGAATAATAGCCTATGTTAGATGGCGCTAATGCTTGCGTTCGGCTCGCGTAGAATCTTACCTGAATTATTATGGTTATCGCTGGGTCATTAATCGAAGACTGCACAGTGGTTTATTTGCTAGGCCTGTTTAGTTATTGAATGATTAATGTCTAGACACACGCTAGCTTCTAATAACGCTCGCGATGTCGTTCTCGCTCGCGGGTGGTAATAAGTGTTTGTTCCTCGATCTTTTGCAGGCCGGTACTAGCCTAATGGCAGCTCTTGCGCGTCGAGATGGGCATACTCTGCACTCTCAAATTTGTCAATATTATGGTTAAGATCGCATCAGATTTAGGGCAATAAGGTCGACTATCTGTATTGACACTCATTGATGTATATTCTTATAAGATCATCATTAGTTATGCAGCTGCGTAGAACTTCTAGAGTTATGTCTCATTACTCAGTCGCGGGGCTGTTATCGTCTCTTTCTACTTACTCTTCTCTTCTACTCATCTCGTGCTCTTCATCTCTTCTTCAACCTAGTACTAAAGGCATCATGTGTATAGTCTGTTGGGTCTTAGTGCGGCGGACGAGACGCAGTGGCACTATTAATGTAGGTTAAGTCAGTGTGGGAGGACGACGCAATGTACTCAGAAGGACTCACAGTGAGATTAGTCTCGTTTAAGACTGTATCTTATGCAGTAGCAATTCTAAAACGGTATCTCATACAGATCGCCGCGAGATATGATAGCAACAATACACTCTTTTACGGCTGGCTAAC